AAATAAAAATAAAAAATGAAAAATAAAAATAAGCATCAGCATAGTTTTAGAAAACACCTCTAAATATACACACAATGGAATATTACTCAGCCATAAAGAAGAATGAAATCATGGCATTTGGCAGTGAATGGATGGAACTGGAGACTATCATGCTATGTGAAATAAGCCAGTTCCAAAAATCTAAAGGCCGAGAATTTTCTATCTGATATGTAGATGCTGATTTACAATAGGCAGAGAATGGGGAGGAGTGGAAGTTCATTGAATTGGAGGGAGGGGAGAGGAAGAGAAGGGGATAGGAATGGGAAAGACAGTAGAATAAATCAGACATAACTTTCTTATGTTTATATATGAATACACTACCATTGTAACTCCACATTGTGTACAACTACAAGGATGAAAAGTTATACTCCATATATATATGATATATCAAAATACATTCTACTGTCATGCCTAACTAAAAAAAAAAAAAAGAACAAATAAAAGAAGAAAGTGCCTCTGGCTAGAATAAATTAAGCTGGGTAGAATAGTCCCCACTTAGAAGTTATCTTCATTAATCTACAAGATACATCTATTTGGATATCCTACTGATGTACAAAAGGAGTAAAAAATAATTTTGTTTCTTTTGTAGTTCTCTCCTCTAAGCTCTCTTCTGATCTTTCATGATCTTTTTTTCACCTTTTTAGTTTCCCAGGCTTGAAACTTCATTCATTTTAAACAACTTATGCACACAGTGAGTTCCTAAATGTCTCAGATTTGCTTTTTTTATTTTGATAGCTTCAATCATAATTCAAACTGTTGCCCTCTAAAAAGCACATAGATCCTTCTAACCTTGAACTTCTCTTTCCTGTGTAGTCAAAACATTAACAAAGCCAACTTTTATAAGTGCCTACTCTAATGCTTTATAATACCTATGTCCATATATCTATATTCTACTAAGTGCAAAGATTAGGCTAGGTTCTAATATGTAGAAAGTTTTCAGAAGGATGCATTTAGTCTTTATTAAAGATTGACTCTTTGCAAAATAGAAGTAGTTACTATCCCTTTTTTTTGTTGTTGTTGTTATTTATCAGTTTTTTTGCTCTGGTGATTGAACCCAGGGGTACTTCACCACTGAGCTATCTCCCCAGCCCCTTTCCCCTGCGTTTTTTGTTTTTGGTACCAGGGATGGGCGCTTAACCACTGAGCCACATCCCCAGGTTTTTTTGTTTTATTTTGGGACAGGATCTCTCTAGGTTGCTTAGGACCTCACTAAGTTGCTGAGGCTGTGTGATCAAATTCAGATTTGGAATTTGGAATTACAGGTGTGCACCACTGTGCCCAGCTTCCTTTTCTATTACTGTTTTTAAATTTGAGACAGGGTCTTACCAAGTTGCTTAAATCTCACTAAATTGCTGAGTGCAGCCTTGAACTTGTGATCCTCCTGCCTCAGTCTCCAGAGTAGCTAGGATTTCAGGCATGTGTCACCATGCCTAGCTATTATCCCTGATTTGAAAACTGAGGCTTAGAAAAAAAAGTAAAGGTCTAGACCAAGGTGGCAGAATTATAATTCTAACCAAAAAAAAAAAAAA